GTTTGTATTATATCATTAGTTAATCTCGTCTTTAGGTCTCTGCTTTGCATTTGAACCTGCAATAGTTAACTATTGAAAACGTATGAATTTCACAATATTACAGCATTATTATTTAGTTCTTTTCTGGCCAAAAAGTATATATCAACCCTCCATCTTTTTGAAATTGCATTTTGGTCCTTCTATCAATTTCTATTCAATTAGTCATGTAAGTTTTAATTTTTGTGCCAAATAAGCTCAATTTTGGACAGAAAAACCAACAGTCATTTGGTCCATTGGCCAAAAGCATTAAAGAACCATCAAATTTCAAAACTGTGCAATTTGGCATCTATAATATTTTTTGAGTTAAATCAGGCACACAATTTATGCATAATTGGCATGAAACTAAAACTTAGTGTGCATAATTGAACATGAAAATAGTACAATGACCAAATGCACAATGTTGAAAATTTCGAGGGTTGAGTTATTTATTTAACATTTTTTCATCATCATTGCCAACCGTTGAAGAGTATGTATGACCCTCCACTTCAATTGGCCCAATCAGGTACAAAAGGTAGTTATAAGCTGTATACTCATTAGTAGATGCTAATCATATACTTTATCGCTTCCCAACACTACCTCTCTAGTTAGTGAATAGATATTGTATACTCCCAACTGTATCATCTAAAATCCGGGGTTACTTAACTCTTTAGTCAGCACATAAGTAAGTTATAAGGTGATGGATATGTATTGCGTACAAATCACACCACTATCCGATTTTCCTTGATAAAGTGTCTGTCAACTTTAATATGCTTGGTTTTGTTGTGTTGTATCAGATTGTGTGTTATACTAATTGCTGATTGGTTATTGCAGTAGAGTTTCAAAGGCCCATCTAATTCAATTTTCAAGTCTTTCGGGATAATTTCCAGCCATAAAAGTTCACTCACTCGTTGGACCATTGCCCAGAATTCTAACTTAGCACTAGACTGAGCTACCACATTCTGTTTCTTACTTCTCCATGTGACAAAAGTTTCTCCAAAAAAAATTTAGTAACCAGTGGTGGAGCTTTTGCCAATTAATAACCCTGCATGATCTGCATCCGAATACGCTTCAATGAGCAACCAGTTGTTTCTTTTAAAAATAATATATTTCCCTGGTATACCTTCAAATAGTGGAGTACTTATTATGTAGATCACAAGTGTTCCTCCTTGGGCTCGTGCATGAATTAGCTTATTACGCTTGCTGCGTAGGGGATATCCAGTATAGTTTGTGAGAAGTCTTTGGGATGTTTCCTTATTAACATTAGGGTCTTTTTCTACTAATCCCAATTTGTGATTAAGATCAATTTTGGGTACCAATAGATTTATATATAAGTTTTTCGATTTCCGTCAAGAGGGCCGTGCCATATCTTTGTTTTGAGATAAATATCTCAGCTTTAGAGTATGGTACTTCTATTTTGATGAGGTATTTTAACTTTTCTAATTCCTTGATTTCAAATTCTCTGGCCAAATATTGCTTGAGCATTTTTTTCTCCTTTTCATCGTTACTTGTCACATTTATATCATTCGTGTATACTAAGAGGGTCGTGACTCCCTCTGAATTGGAATGCTTAATAACCAAGGTATGATCTCTCTGCCTGTATCCCATAGCTAGCATAACCCTTGTAAATTTTTCAAACCATGCTCTAGGGATTGTATGAGCCCATTGAGTGCTTTTTATAGCTTTTACATTTGATTTGCCTCCACACCCTTGGTAAGCCCGAAAGGATTTTCATATAAATTTTGTCTGCTAATTCCCCTTGCAGCGAGATATTCTTCACGTCGAATTGTTGCAACTGTCAATTGAAATTTGCAGCTAACAATAATAGAACACGTACCATATTCATTTTTGCCACTTGTATAAAAGTCTCCTGATAATCAATCATATAAGTTTGGGTGTATATTCTTTGGTCATCAATCTTGCCTTGTATTTTTTTTATGGACCCATTATGTTCATATTTTATAGTGAATGCCTACTTGCACCTTACTGGTTTTTTTTTTCCTTTGGGTAGGCCTACCACTTCCCATGTTTGATTTTTCTTTAGAGGCTGAATTTCAACTTCTATACCATTTTTCGATTGTTCACTGGTTAAAGTCTCGGATAGTGTATTAGGTATATTTATATTACATTTAGACTCATTAGAAAGTTGTTATGAGAGAGAAATTTTTTTTACTTTGATGATCGGATTTTTCCAATATTTGGGACTCTCTGCAAAATTATCACTTGTTTAAATTGTTTATGTTCGTTCTCTTTTGATTATGGTTTGTAGATTAAGGCATCACAGAAGGAGTTTGAGAGGATGCTTCAAGATCAAAGGTGCTTGATTTGAGAAGTTTTT